TAGAATGACTATATTCACACCAGTGTCATGTCAGTCCCCCTAGGATGACTATATTCACATCAGTGTCATGTCAGTCCCCCTAGGATGACTATATTCACACCAGTGTCATGTCAGTCCCCCTAGGATGACTATATTCACATCAGTGTCATGTCAGTCCCCCTAGGATGACTATATTCACATCAGTGTCATGTCAGTCCCCCTAGAATGACTATATTCACACCAGTGTCATGTCAGCCTCCCTAGAATGACTATACTCACACCAGTGTCATGTCAGTCCCCTTAAGATGACTATATTCACACCAGTGTCATGTCAGTCCCCCTAGAATGACTATATTCACACCAGTGTCATGTCAGTCCCCCTAGGATGACTATATTCACACCAGTGTCATGTCAGCCTCCCTAGAATGACTATATTCACACCAGTGTCATGTCAGTCCCCCTAGGATGACTATATTCACACCAGTGTCATGTCAGTCCCCCTAGGATGACTATATTCACATCAGTGTCATGTCAGCCCCCTAGGATGACTATATTCACACCAGTGTCATGTCAGCCTCCCTAGAATGACTATACTCACAACAGTGTCATGTCAGTCCCCCTAGGATGACTATATTCACACCAGTGTCATGTCAGCCTCCCTAGAATGACTATATTCACACCAGTGTCATGTCAGTCCCCCTAGGATGACTATATTCACATCAGTGTCATGTCAGCCTCCCTAGAATGACTATATTCACACCAGGGTCATGTCAGTCCCCCTAGGATGACTATATTCACATCAGTGTCATGTCAGTCCCCCTAGAATGACTATATTCACACCAGTGTCATGTCAGCCTCCCTAGAATGACTATATTCACACCAGTGTCATGTCAGTCCCCCTAGGATGACTATATTCACACCAGTGTCATGTCAGTCCCCCTAGGATGACTATATTCACATCAGTGTCATGTCAGTCCCCCTAGGATGACTATATTCACATCAGTGTCATGTCAGTCCCCCTAGGATGACTATATTCACACCAGTGTCATGTCAGTCCCCCTAGGATGACTATATTCACATCAGTGTCATGTCAGTCCCCCTAGGATGACTATATTCACACCAGTGTCATGTCAGTCCCCCTAGGATGACTATATTCACATCAGTGTCATGTCAGTCCCA